ACCATTTCCTCTCAAAACAGTAATCCTTAAAGGATTATTATTAATTACTCACTTTTGGAATGAGCTTACTGCTCATTAAGCAGGCAAAATTGATTGTTATCTGCTGGTTTGAGGCAATGGCTCTGCATCATGCTGGGTTGCTCATGCAGTTTTCTCAGCAGGTTTGGTTTTCATTGTTAGAACTCAAGACATATTTCAAGATGACTGAGTTCAGAATTTGAACATACCCTTTCTTTCATTTTCTTTTCCCCCCCAATCTGTTTATTGCCTGGAACATTATTCTTCTAGACTTTGCAGAGTGCAGCTTCCCCACTTGGGGTAGTGGGGATTTTCTTGGTGCTGCAGTCCTTGTCTCTGGTGGAAAGTATTCTGTGAGATGCTTCTAAAATATCTTTATCCCTCTTCATCCAAACTTCTCTCACCACTTCTGGTAAAGATGTCACATGTGGGAGGAATTCCCTTGAGAGTTTTGGGTAAATGAAGAAATGGTCTCCTGGTGTTCTGCCCTTTCCTTTATTCTATTTTTGCAGGCAGAGACTGAGCTGTGTTCCATTGTTCATCAGAAGCACTTTGACTTTATTTTTCTGCAGTTATTTGATCTGCTTTGGGAAACTTGTAGTGGACTCCTTTTAGCTGATTAATATTTGAAACAGTTTTGCAGAAATCTTTGGGACCCAGGATTTCTAGAATTCTCAGATCTGTGCTGTATTAGAAGGGTTCTGTGCCCTTTAATGTTTCTTTGCTTGTCTGGCTTTTTGTTGGTCTTGCAATAAACTTCAGCACTCCCTTGCTGAGGTAAGTCCACTCAGCTTCTCGTGTCAGGAGTCAGGTTAATTTTTATGCAGCTGTAAAGACAAACATTTCACAATTTAAATGGATTTTTTTCCTCCCCTTAGCTTGTTCAGCCACTCAAACAGATGTTTGGTCACTTGTACTCTCTGGGGTTTTGTTTTTTTGGACAGTCTCATTTGAATGAAATCACTCCTCAGGGAAGAGAAAGGGAGGAGGTGGCTCCCAAGCTAAGCCCACTCCTGCAGACACTGGGATAAGCAGATTTTGGGGTTTTTCCCTTTCCCAAGGGCTGCACTCCTGCATGGGCTGAGCTGCTGGGCTCTGGAGTTGCCAGGAATTCCAGTGTGGCTGTGACAAACCAGGTTGGCTCCTCAATGGGCAGCTGATTCTGTTACTGCCCTGGAACTCTCCATTCTTGTTTGAACTTCCTTTCTTATTTAATGTTTCTTTAAAAATAGCTTTATTTGTTTTCATAGAGCACTGTAGAGCAGCGTTCTGGAGGGCGTGGGCCCTGCTCTCCCTGTGCCACGTCTTACAATTAACAAAGTCTTTTTTGCCACCTTCTCAGAGGTTTTCTGAATTCAATTCAGTTTGTAGAGGGTAACACAAAGTGAGAAATTCCATGTTCCTTGCTGTGTGAGAGGTGTGGCACTTTTCCTCTCTCTGGTCCTAATCCCTGCAATTGATAACCTGAAATTCAGTGAAATTAGATATATGGTGAGGTTTTTGAATACATATCCTTCAGTGTGCAATGGTAGAATTGGAAATTAGCCCTAATTGCAGGCAGTTTGGCATTAGTAACATTACCAATACTACTGGTAATAAAGATTTTTAGACTGATTTTAAAAAGAATTTGAAATAAAACCTCAAACCTTCTTGGTATAGAATGACTATAACCTTGTTAAATAACAAATAACCTATGCTGAGGTTAGTGCAGAGAAGTCAACATTGAATATTTGCTTTACTCTGATGGTGATGAGGACTAACCACTGAAGATATCCTGGAATTTTATGGCCTGAATTCAAAGACAAGGCAATGACAAGCACAATTATTCTGTGATTAACCCCTGCATGTCAAATCATGTCAGATTTCAGAGTATTCTTGTAATATGTGAAGTTTAAAGTTTACTGCCAGCACAGCTCTGTTCTGGCAGAGAAAACCAGAGTCAGGAGTGGCTCCTGCAGGAGCAGCCAGCACAGTGGGGAGCTCTGAGGAGAATCCATGGACTGAGGGGACCCAGAGCTGAGGAGAATCCATGGATTGAGGGGAACCAGAGCTGAGGAGAATCCATGGATTGAGAGAAACCAGAGCTGAGGAGAATCCATGGATTGAGGGGAACCAGAGCTGAGGAGAATCCATGGATTGAGGGGAACCAGAGCTGAGGAGAATCCATGGATTGAGGGGAACCAGAGCTGAGGAGAATCCATGGATTGAGGAGAATTCAGAGCTGAGGAGAATCCATGGATTGAGGGGACCCAGAGCTGAGGAGAATCCATGGATTGAGGGGACCCAGAGCTGAGGAGAATCCATGGATTGAGGGGAACCAGAGCTGAGGAGGATCCATGGACTGAGGGGAACCAGAGCTGAGGAGAATCCATGGATTGAGAGAAACCAGAGCTGAGGAGAATCCATGGATTGAGGGGAACCAGAGCTGAGGAGAATCCATGGATTGAGGGGAACCAGAGCTGAGGAGAATCCATGGATTGAGGAGAATTCAGAGCTGAGGAGAATCCATGGATTGAGAGAAACCAGAGCTGAGGAGAATCCATGGATTGAGGGGACCCAGAGCTGAGGAGAATCCATGGATTGAGGGGAACCAGAGCTGAGGAGAATCCATGGACTGAGGGAACCCAGAGCTGAGGAGGATCCATTGATTGAGGGGAGCCAGAGCTGAGGAGGATCCATGGACTGAGGGGAGCCAGAGCTGAGGAGAATCCATGGGTTGAGGAGACCCAGAGCTGCTCCTGAGGAGAGGCTGGAGCATCAAACACCAAAGGGGCCTCTCAGGCAACAGTTACAGAGCAGAATTCCTTGGCTCCAGAGCTCTGGAGCCAGAGTTTCTTGGCATTCTGAGTGCATTCCTTCTCCAGTGTGTGCTCAGAATAACTTGGGACTTTTTGGAGCAGAAGTGGGACAAACGTTTGCAGACAGAACAGTCTGGACTCCCTTTGGGCTGCTGGGCTCTGGGAGTGCATCAGGGTTTGTTCATGGCTCTAACTGGGCTCCAATCCCCTCCTCTCACTCAAATAATCCAAAAATCCTGCCCTGAACTAAAGCAGATGCTGCTGTTGGTTGTTCATTTGGAATGTTGCACTTGTGTTGGGAGGGAAGGGAAGTTTCAGGATAAGTAAATGCATTTGACCTTTTTTGGTCACTTTGATTTTGGCTTAGGAGCATGGACCTCAATGAAAGCCACAGGTCAGCCTGAAACTTTAAACAATTTTTGTGCAGTTCTATGATTTTAAAGTAGCTTTGGTTTGGATTGCAGTGGGCCAGGTAAAGTTTAATGGGGTGGGGATTTCAGCCTGTGCTGTTACTGCAGTGTAACTCAGGCTTTGTGTGAAGTTTGAGGGCTCAGATCAGTTCTGAGTCAAAGAATTATTTCTGCTTCAAAGCATGAATTACCCTGGGCAGTACAAAATATGTATTTTCCTTAGATGGGATGCAGTGTTGTGTTTTCAGTCCCTTTTTTCCAAAGGTAGATCAGACCTGACAGGTGGCAGCAGAAAAAGCAGATGAATATAAATCTATAATTTACCTGTAGGAAATGTCAGCTCCAGTGTAAACATGGGAGGGGGAATTGCTGAAATCCAGCCTGCTGTGTGCAGGGACAGTGAAGGGTTAAATATGAACATTATCCTTTTTCTAGATGCTTCTAGAATTCAGCCTTCTGAGCAGACACGTGGCTGAGTTTAGACAATCCATTAACAATAATCTGCTGCAAGTTTGACCCTACTATCCAAAGATAAAGCTGGCAATTTGTAATTTATGGCAGAATAACAACTTCCTTTCTCTGTCAAGTCTTCATTAATGACTCTAATAAAGGTTTGAAGAAAACTGATTTTGTATCTACAGCCAGGGCTTTGGGAGCTCTGACAGGAGGGACATGTCAGGAATGAATCCATTGGCTGTAGGAACAGTAATTAATTTAAAAATCCTCAACAGCTGCTAAAGAAACTCAGCTTTATCTGCAAAGGCCCCATGACTTTACAAAACCCAAACAGCTTTCTGAATTTAAGACAGCTTCTCTGAAAACTTTCTCTTTTCCTGGCCTTTGAAAATCCTGCTGTTACTCTTCTTAACTTTCAAAGTCTTTCTGAATTCCCCTCACTGTGATGATGAAAGAATTGGCCAGGCTTTGAGAATTGCATGGATGAAAATCACCCTTGGAAGGACTCTAATAATAACAATAATAAGCAAAATCCATTGAAACTCATCTGATATAAAGTACATGTCAGGATAATCTGACATATTTGGCTGCTTTAAGCACTGAACCAGTTCTCAGAGGATTGAATTTTATAACAAAGGTTTCCAGTGCCTCATTCTAGCCCAGAAAAAACTAAAATTTTCCAACTCAGCAATGCATCTTTCATTGTCAGAGCGATGATGAGATGGGTGCTATCACTGGCAGCTCACTGCTGCTTTCTAATGGGCCTTTGTGGTGCTGGGACAAAGACTGGTTGATAAATTGCCTATAAAAAGTGGCTTTGGGATATTATTTAATTGTCAGTGAAGTCTCTATGTACTCACAGTTATGTCTTTGCTCACAACACCTGCAGTACAATCAATTCTCAGTTCCTGGAGCCCTGCACAGGGAGAGATAGAGGCACTGAGCTGGGAAATGACTCCAATGAATTGGAGAAGAAAGGAAAAGAATAATAACGAGCAGAGAGCAGCAGTGCCATTGGGAAGCTGCCCTCAGAAGGTGTGGCTGCTCAGAGAGGATGCTCAGCTGCCAAGGGCACTGCAGCCCTGGCACTGGCACAGATAACTGAAATATTGCTCTGTGCAGCCCTGGCCCTGGCACAGATAACTGAAATATTGCTCTGTACATTTTCTGAGCAGCTGGGGGACGTGACAAGTAAAAACTTGACAGATGTGGCAATTTCATTGTACTGAGTGTGTGTTTAACTCCAGCTGTTCCAGAGGCTGGGAGAGGAGCAGAGCCATCCCTGCCCTCATTAATTAATGCTCTGTTCTGTCTGCAGGCTGGCAGTGATGGTGAGAGCATAGGAAACTGCCCCTTCTCCCAGAGGCTCTTCATGATCCTGTGGCTGAAGGGAGTCGTGTTCAGTGTCACAACAGTGGACCTGAAGAGGTAAGAAATACTTTAATTATTGGGCCAGCAAGAGCTCAGCACCCTTGGTGGAACAAAGCTTTGGCCAGAGCTTCTGTGGCTCATGGGATGGTTCTGTGAAATTAAAATCTGTCCTAATAATTAACTGGATGTAAATGGTGCATTCATTATGGTTTAACCAAAAATAATGGTAAGTTCTCTTGAATTTGTTCAGTGGTTCTCTTCTGTAAAACTCACACAAAGCCTTTTGTAACTGAATATTGACTCTTCCTTTCCTGACTTCACATCAAGATGCCCTCAGTGAGGACAGATGGATATTTTTAGTCATGCACCCTCTGATCAAACTCCAGTGATGGATAATTGTCACAAACAATGTGCAGCCTCCCCCTTTTCTTAATGTTTTTAAGATAATTTTGGTTATTGTGCAATAATAATGAAAATACCTGCCCATGAGGTAAATCCAAGTGAAATGGGCAGGAATAAAATGCAGAATATTCTGCCTTTGTTCAGTGTCAGCCAGATAAGCCATGGTGCTGTCACCTAAACTGCAGCTGCTCCTCTATAAATGAGTACCTTGGTGGCTAAATCCAGTGAGAATGAATCCAGGAGCCTCCATTTCCTCAGGCTGGGCATTCTGTTTTATGAAAGTGCTAAATTCAGCAGGGGCCTTGTGTTTGCTTTGGGTGTGAAGTCATGTTTTCCCAGCACTGATGGAAAACTCTGCTGGTCACAGCTCTGCAGAGGGGAGGCTGCCAGTGCCTCCAAACCTGAATTTCAGGAATAAAGCCAACAGAAACACAGTGTTCTGCACTGAATCCAGCTTAGAAGGGAGAAATCACCCTGCTGGGCTCAAGCTCTGGGGATTTTCTGGAGGGAGGTGACTTGTTTGGGTTTTAAAATCACTGAAGTTGCTGCTGCAGTGCTGGCAAGGAGTGTGAAAGGCTTCCCTGTGTGGTGAGGGGCAGAAAGCAGCTTTTGTCAGCCCTGGGTGCATTTGGAGCTGCTCAAAGAGCTTTTCTGGCCAGTGTGGGATTTCCCTGCAGATGCTGCTGCTGCCAGCCCCATAAACCAAATGTGTCACATCTTCCACCAGCCCTGCTGTGGTTTGTGCAAGCTCAGGGGCAGAGCTGCTGCTTGTGGGCTCTTGGTAATTTGGGATTTCCTTTTCCTTTAGTGATGGGGTTGTTTAACCTATTGCAGTTCCTGGGGTGGGCAGAGATATTTTAGGTTTGAAAGGCTTTTTACTGCTGAACCAGCTTAGATATCATTAAAATGCCAAATATTCCTGATGAATTGGCTTTATTTTGTGTCCCCTTGGCAACTTGGACTTAATTGGGTGGGGGAATGAGATATAAGACTAACTTTTAGCCTATAAATTGGTTGCAGATGTTTAAAGTTGACCTTCCTTACACAAGGAAAGCTTTCTTTCAGGATTTTTTTTCCTGTTGGGGAAAGGGAAACACAAAATAAGTGCAAAATTAAAGCTCTGCAGGGGAATAGGTCAAATAAACCACCTTTGTGTTGTGCACTGAAGGGGTTCTCTGGGAAAGGACACAAAGGACCACTGCAGCTAATTCAGGGTGGAATAGATATTGATACAAACTTAATTCCTTTTAGACTTTATTTAGATGTCCTTAAATACAACTTTAACACTGGACTGATCAATAGCCAGTGGCAGAGCAGTGCAGCTTGCAGGACATCCCATCCAGCTGTGTGCTGGACAGGAAATGTTTGATATCACAGGGGACTGTTTCCCCTTGTTATCACTGCCAGAATGATAATGGATGTTTGGTGGTGCCTTCATATTGCCACAAGAAACTGCTTTTGTGAGCACTTTATTCAAGCCAGTTATCTCCTCTGCTCTTGTTGAGTTTGTGTCTAACAGGAACAGAGCAGAGCAGGAATTGTTTAAAAAACCTGAATTTATTTTGTTGGCCAAAACCAGAAAAAAGGAAAAAAGGCTTTGCTTGCCACTGCCTCATAACATCAGTGCTGCACAGCAGCAAGGCCAGCTCTGTTTGTGAGCATGAAAAGGTCATGGTTGGGTACAAAAGTTCACAAATAAGGGACTTGGGACACAGGAAAATCTGAGCCTGCTTCTCCTGCCTGTGTGCTTTCCCTGCAGAGCTGCCCTGAGCTAACAAAGGCACATTCTGCACTGCTCAGCTCTGCCCTCCACACACAAAATGTGCACACAGGCAAGGGAGGAGGGCAGTCCCACCCTCTGCAAGGAGTCAGGCATTTCTTCCCTCTCTTTGGGCACACAGAGGCTCCATTCTTCCCTTCTGGGCAGCAGCATTGCAGTGCCCAGGGCTCTGCCTTGTTCTGGGGGCCTGAGCAGAGCTGCCCTGCACAAACCATTTGTTGGGCTTGGAGCAGCACTCAGGGCCAGTTTGCCTTCAGCTGAGGGCTGAAATCCTGATTGGAGCATCTTCATTTGGAGTTTTTGCAGTTCCTCTGGCAGGCAAAGCTTTAATTATATGAAATATTCAAATTAAATATTGAAGACCACCCAGAGGTGAATGCAACTTCAGCAGAGTGAAATACTGCTGAGAACTGGGGTTTTAATGCTGACTGACTTTTCCCCATGTTACTCTTCAGCTCCTCATTGCAGTATTTGTGTAATTTATAAATGCGTTACATTTGGGGGCTGGAATTTGTCTGCTCTACAATAAATAATTTGCATGCTAATTGCTACGCTGGTTTGTGGCAAAGCCATGAGGTGTTTACACCTTAACTCTGAGGGCCAGATAATGAATGTGGCCCTGCCTCCAAAACCCCTGGTAAACTTTGGGGTAGGCACAAACCGTGTTGGAATTATTTGGAGTGGTTACAGAAGGGGTTTTTGTTTGGGTTTGGTTTGTTTTTTTAAGCTCTCCAGCTTTATCTCAGAAGGAAAACATCACTGTTACAGTAATTGCCTTCTTGTTTGACTGTTGAGGGAATTTGTACTCTGAGCCTTTTCAGGCTGTTCCTGTGAGCTCCAAGGGCTGTGCTAGAGCAGGGCTTGGTTTGGATCTCCTGGAGCAGCAAACTGAAGTCAAACCCTGAGCTGGGCTGTGGGATCTTCATTCTGCGTTCTTTTGAAAGATCCAGATGGATAAAGTGCTCTGAGATGCACTCTGCTTCTTTGGAAAACTCTTTTGGGCAGTTCTTTGGAATAATCTGTTTCTGAGCTAAAGCTTGCCTTTGATAGTATTCCTGCAGATCCTGTGCTCTTGGCCCTGTTTGTTTTTCAAATAACATTCCTTTTGAGGAATTTTATCTGGCCAACATGGGGAGCTGGAAGGGAGCCACGATGACTTCCTGTAATTGTTGGGAGTTACAAAGCTGTATTTAAATGAAGTGTTAAGCTACTTAAAGCATTACCCAATGACGACTTTAAATCCTAAAAGTGAGGGAGAGGTGGCAACTCTTAGTAAGAAATAACTTCTCAGAAGCTTAAAAATTGAAAAGAGTTAAATTCTTGTATTCATAAGATCTCGCAGGGTAAAGTATGAAAATCACTTTTCTCCTTCAGTGTTACAAGTAAGCACACCTTGGCTCTAGAAAAGGGGCAGCAGTGGGCAGGACATGAAATTCTGGCAGGGGTTCTAAATTTTGTAAGAAATGGAAAAGAAGGTAGAGTTGTAAACTGAGCCCAGCTGCTCTCATCCCTGCAGGGCTGGGGCTGTGCATGGCACCAGTTCAGTTTCCCTGTCTGGGGCTGTCAGGAGCATTTCCTGAAGTGCAGTTTCCAGTAAATCCAGTTCCTGCAGGCCTGCAGCTGGCTCAGGAACGTGGCCAGGCTGGACAGGGCTCAGGCCCAGCTCAGGGTTGTGCTCCAGTCTGGATTTGCTCAAACAGGACCAAGGGGCAGCTTTGCCTTGGCACAGCTCTCAGCTGGGCCAGCAGGAGGTGGTGGCCAGGCTGCCTGAGGGAAATGTTAGTTAGAAATAGAGCTAGAAATGGCTATTGCAGCTTTTTGCTGTTTCTCTCATGTATAATCCCAATGTGGGATTCCTCTCCCAGGTGTGCTGCTCTTGTTTGTAAATACCTTTTTTCACTGGGGGAAACTGAAACATAATTTAACCACAATGTTCAAGCATCTGTCAGCCTGCCTGGAACCAACCTCCCTGGGCATGTAGTAAATGCTTTATTCACTGGGTTGGGGCAGAGCTGCTGCTTTCCAGAGCAGCTCTGTGTGAGGGGGCAGGATTAGCACAGATTATGCTATATATAAACTGCTCTGCAGGGCTGGGGAAGGAGGGAGAGGGTGAGGTGTGTGTATAGGTATCCCTCTTCTAGTCAGCATTGGGTTGAGTTGAGAATAAACACAGCCAGAGGTAGGAGGAGATTGTTTTTAACTGTTTCAAATGAATTATTAGCAAGTGTATTCAAAATGTTTAGTTGTAAACTCACTTTTTAGAAAGAAAACTGGTGGTGTCTATTTAAAACTGAGGGTGTGGAAACCTCAGCAGTGCTTTTGTGGTCGTAGCAATGAAATGTTGTCCCCTGCTTACTGTTCATGGGTTTGCATCTCCCCAGGAAACCAGCAGACCTTCAGAATCTGGCTCCAGGCACTCACCCCCCCTTCATCACATACAATGGGGAAGTGAGAACAGATGTGAACAAGATTGAAGAGTTCCTGGAAGATGTTCTGGCCCCACCCAAGTAAGTGTTAAACTGATGGTTTGTCACCTCAGGCACAGCTCTCACAGGGGATTTCTGCCCTAAGAAACTGAAGACATGGAATAGTTCTTGCATGTCATACCTCCCTCCCATCAGCTCCCTCATCTTTAGATCAAAAGCTGTTTCCTCTGTAAGATTATTTAAAAATTATCCTTTGTGTACCCCAGCCATCCTTTCTGCACTTTCAAACTCTCCCTTTTGGTGGCAGGCACATTTGTGTCCAAATAATGCAAATGAAGAGGAGTCTGCTGTACAAAACTTACTCCTAAACTGTAGTGAGAATTTGTTTTCATGTGCTCAAACTATCTCCAGACTCTTGGCTTTGTACTCTTCAGCTGGCAGGCAGATCCAGACACTGCCTTTAACAGACTGGACTGTTTTGTCTTTTCAGCATGGCAAAACTTCATGTTTTTGTTAAGAGATGTGTAGTCCAGAACTCTCTGATGCTAATTGAAGTGGAAAACCCAGTATTTTGCTGACACATGAGTGATGTGCTCCCTTGGCAGCACTGACTGAGGCAGCTCTGGTGCCCTGGGCTCCTCAGACTCTGCTTGTACCAAATTCAGAAAGCAGCAATGTGCTTTTTCCCTCTGGAAAAGGTTTAAAAACCTCCGTGTGTGATGCTACACTTCAGGAGCCAGGCTGGAAAAGGATGAATCAGTACCAAAGTGCCATTTTGTGCTAATTAATAGATAATGAACACCATTCTGCTAAATGTGCTGTAGATCTGCTCCTTGCTGCTTTTCAGGTACCTGAAACTCTCACCAAAGCACCCAGAATCCAACACTGCTGGAATGGATATATTTGCCAAATTTTCTGCTTTTATCAAGAACTCTAGACCAGAAGCTAATGAAGGTGGGTCACTGGGGGACAGTGCACTCCTGATTCACTGTTTGTGTTTTTCAGAGCAGCTTTGAGGGAAGTATCTCCCTGACAGATTTAGCTGCATGTTGGTGGGCACTTGAGAGTCTCATGAACTAAAATCTTATTTAAATTTAATGTTAGAGATTTCAACATTTGAAAGAGAACTTCAGTTCAATCAGAATTTCAGTGGGGTGTGCATGGTTTGTAAATATTCCTGGCACTGGGTCTTCTCTGTGCAGCAGCCACTCAAAACTCTTGAATGAAGGATAAATGTTTCAACATCCGGAAGCAAATTTCAGGCAAAGTTTGTGTCATGCCTCAATGGTCGAATTTCTGTGCATCTGCTGCTCTTATTTCACCTCTCCAGGACTCAGGGCTCCCATTCAGAGTTCTGAGCTAAGCTTAGTTTGTGACACTTCCATTAAAGGATTAAAACCTTTCTGAGTGAGGGAAAACAGGAGATTTCACATGAGGGTTCAATAAGTGGTAAAGAACTCACAGCTGGACCTTTAAGTAATTCAGTGCAAATCAGTTTTGTCCTCAAAGTGTACTTAGAGGGAAAACCAAACTCAGGGAATCAGGGTTCCTTTCTGCTGCATTTCAAAGGGAGAGAGCAAAATATTTGTAAACAGTTGGGAAATAACCGGGGATTTTCTGGGGTGTGCTGCCCTCTGCTGCTGCATTCCATAAACCTTCTGCTCCATTCCCAATCCTGCTGTGCTCCTGCAGCAGCCTGGGCGCTCTGGGTTGGTCAGGGCAGTTTGCTGAGCATGTGACATTAAACAGATTATGTTTAAATGTATATAAACCCCAGCATAGCTTAATTCTAATCAGTTTAAGCCAGTTAGGCACAGTCTTAAGAAACTGACATAAGCCACTTTTAAAACCAAAAATAAACCCTTGTGGGCAGTCTTACAGTATTTTAAATTAGTGCAAACTCCCGTGTTAGCCAGCTTTTAAATAACCTGCATTTGTGGGATATTTAAAGAGATTCTGGTCCAGTTGCAGTGTTCTGGTGAGCACAGAGGCACAAAAACCCCCAAGGGTTACAAATCCTTGAGTGTAGCACAGGGATGTGGGGTTTGTATGTCAGATCTGGTAGCAGCCTCAGTTTAATATTTGTTTTGAATGGTCCCTTCCTGTGCAGCCTTAGAACGTGGCCTGTTGAAAACCCTGCAGAAGCTGGATGAGTACCTGAACTCCCCCCTGCCTGACGAGATCGATGAGAACAGCCTGGAGGATGTCACAGTGTCCACACGCAAATTCCTGGATGGCAACGAGATGACCTTGGCCGACTGCAACCTGCTGCCCAAACTGCACATTGTCAAGGTCAGACCTGCGGGGGCTGCAGGGGAAAATGCAGCAGAAAATATCTGTGCTTTGTGTCATTCCTGTGCTCAGCTCATTGCAGCTGTCTGTAAGCTCGGCTGCACTGATAGCACCTGAGTATGTGCAAGGTTTGGGTCACTCAGGGGGCTCTGAGCAGTGGAGATCAGGGCAGGTGTGGATTTGGGCAGCAGAGAGCCAAACCCCATTCCCTGCACTGCCCTCGTGGTCCCAGGGAGCTGCAGAGCTCACAAAGGAGGAGGAGGGTGAGGATCAGGTGAGCAGGTAATGGCTGAGGGGGGCTGCTCACTTCTGTAGAGGAAACTGCTCAGAACAAAGTAAATGACACAAATAAAGGGATTGGATAAATAACCAAGTTGGAATGTAAGCAGCAGCCTGGGACAGCCACAGGAGTGCAGATGGGCCCACAGCAGTGTGGTTTGGTTCCTCCCCTGCCTGCAGTGCTCCGTGTCAGTTCTGTACTGCAGATGGAGCCACAGGCTCAGGTTCTGCCTGCCTGCAGAAGAATTTCCCTGGATGAGGAGAGCCCCAAGGGGAGAGAGGCAGGAACAGCCAGGGCATCTCTCAGGAACAGCCTCTGGAAACTGCAGGAGTGTCCAGGTTGGGGGGATAACTTCACAAGAGAGTGGCCAGGGCTGGAAAAGGGTTTAAGGTGAAGGATGTAAATTCATAACGTAATTCTGTCCTTCCAGGTGGTGGCCAAAAAATACCGCAACTTTGAGATTCCCAAGGAGATGACAGGGATCTGGAGATACCTGACAAATGCTTACAGCAGGGATGAGTTCACCAACACCTGTCCTGGAGACAAGGAGATTGAAATAGCTTACAGTGATGTAGCCAAGAGACTCACCAAGTAACCAGCACCTGCAGAGGATCAGGTTATATCCCATAACAATGCTTCTAACAGACTGCTCTTTTCATATCAATAGCAATTGGTTTTTGCATGAACTCGCAGTTACTCCAAGCCACGTGGATAGACCAGGTACAGTAATTACCTAAAGTTTGCAGACTTTAATTACAGGCTTGTTTTTCCTGACCTCCTCTCACAGCCTCTGAGCATGGTGGATGCAGTCGTGTTCCTGTTGCACTGGGGTGACTCTGGATTCTTCATTCTGAAGGGTTGGCTCGCCCCTGCTGCTTCTCTCTGTAAACATTTGGTCCATGATTTGTCCAGGAATTGGTTTAGGATCCTGTCTCACTGTATGGTACAAGGAATATTTATGTATTTTGGAATTTATTGCTTTTCCAGAAGATCTGTACACACCTGTCATACCTGTGACACGTTGAACTGTACCTGCTTGTCTATCCTATTTACATAGAGAAGGGAACTTAGTATCCAAAAGAGCCATTTGCAAAATATTTGGCAATGTTTTGTTGGTTTGTTTTGTTGTATTTTTATAAAATCTCTTGGATTTGAAGTCACGGTGATGGTTGAGAACGGACTCAATGTGAACCTTGGATTTGAGTGACCTCAGCATCAGGGAAGTTTGAATCCAGGCCTGAGAGCTGGGGCAGGAAGATCAAAGCTCAGAGTTGATTTTTTTGTGTCTTCAAGAGCTTGAGGAGATTTAAACACCTGCATTTGTATGAATTTTGAGTTGCAGCAAACAAATAATTGTCAGGATTTTCCATCAGGAAACAGCAGATTTGGAAGCTGCCCTCTGTTCACCTTAAGAATTGCAAGTGGCTTTCTTTTTGGTAGTTAAGAGCCTTTTTGTTTTGTATAGGTATTTTTGGTGATTTTTACTTAAAAATCTGTTCTGTCATAGCCGAAATCCATGGCAACTGTAGTGTCCTAACTCTGGGTGGGGAATAGCAGTGCAATGATTAGTGATGCAAAATGGACTGAGAGCCATGAAATGGGAACTTTTTAATGCCCTTTCTTCCCTGAAGAAAGCTAAAGTGACCTTTAAAAAGAACATTTGCCTTAAATGATAGTAGGGTGGTTTTTTCCTGAATGGAAATTGGGAATTTTGTAAAGAAATGGTGGTGGAATCCAGTCCTTTCCATGGAATTTATCCCAATTGTTTCTGTGCACCTGCACTGCAGTTTTGCATATTCATAATCATTGCACTACTATACTTAAATCTTTTTACAGCAACACTGAGGAATAGCACTACAATTTTTTTAAAAGCAATTTTCAAATGTTTCTAAACCAGGGAATAGTTTTCTTGTTTAAAATTAATGGTTTTGATGCACGAAATAAACTGCTAGGTTATTTTTAAAAGACCATCATAAACAACTCCAAAGAATGCTAGACTTATATGCCTATTTTTTTGTAAAGATACTTTTATATTTAACTGATTTTAGAAGCTGGAAAGTGCTATTCCTGCTAGGTTGTTCTTGGAATATTTAACATTCTGCAATAACGTGGAAATGCTGACACAAACACTTTTATACACTAATTGTTTTCTTTTTTTTTTTTTTTTTTTTTTGGTAAAGCACTGGCTTTCTGAAAACCAGGCTGACTTTTCTAAGCATCCTGCTTTTGCTACTTTATGTACCCATGGAGTTAGTTGGACATAGAAGAGGTAGAGAAGCAGATCCGTATTTGTATCCCTGGCTTGTGGTGCCTTGCCTTGCCTTCCTAGAGCTACAACTCCAATATAAAGGCACTTAGCAATCCTGTCACATCTCTTTCAAAGGCAACTCTCTTAGATACACCTAAACCCTGTTGTGATTTGTTTCAGGAATGTTTAGGCACAGAGGGACATCCTGGGGAGTGACCTGGTTAGGAGAACCTTGGCTGTAGCCCTTGATGAATTACTGTGTTCTGATGTCACGTTCCCCTCCTCAATAATAAAGTTCCTCAGCCATAAGAATCCTCTGTAGGACTTCAGTCTCTGCCACAATGTGACATCTAGAAAAAGGAATTACTTTTTTATTTAGATAACAGCATTTTTAATGACACATAGGGTGAAAAAACCCCAAACCCTACCCTCCTTGGTTTGGTGCTCTTGGCCACCACAGAGTTCACAAAGCTGTAGAAAGTGACTGTGGGCATATCTTTGAAAGGAGAGCTAAAAACTTCACAAAAGCAGATCAGGATGGCCCTTGGAAGTTGTAGTGATGGGGTTGTGGGGTCAGGCTGTGCTCCCTTCCCCAGGGAATTGTCCCTGGAGTGCAGAGAGCAGGGCACCCACAGCCAGGAGCTGCTGCAAGCAACCATCACCTCCTTAAACACCAGCTCAGACCCCTTCAAACCCCTCAGAGGTTTAACTGTGTCCGAGAGCTTGCAAACAGAGTTCCAGCTCTGGCTGTGACCAGCGGGTTCCTGATCTCACCCAGAGCAGGAATCCCTCGGAGCTGGAATCCCAGCGAGCTCCAGCCTGGCACGGGACCTGTCCTGGGTGTCCCTCAGGCTCCCTGCCGCAGTTGTGTTGTGGCAGGAGCTGCCCAGCCCCTCCTGGCTGGGGAGGGAGCAGCGATCTGGAGCAGAGGAGCAGCTCCAGCTCCGTAGGTGATCCCTGCAGAGCAGGGGAACGGCGGCGTCTGCTGTGGGCACAGCGCTTTCATCTGGCCCCGATCACCAGCTCCACACTAATTAAAGAAGCCCTTTCATAACTATGTAAATTCCTGACTTCTGTCAACTTGTTTACAATCTGATCTTTAAATGCATTTTTAATTTCATCAAACAGCAATTAATCTACCCCCTGTTTAAATTTAAAATGCTGCTTCTAGCCCCTTCTCCAATTTAAAAACAGCAGTTACCCTTTCAAGTAGGCATTCCAGTTTGCAAGTTGGTTGCATGTATTAGCATGCTGAGTAACTCACTTTATTCTCAAGCTGAAATATGCTTAAATTCGCATTAAAACAGGTGACTTGTGTATTTCCTGAACACGAGGGGAAAATCCATCACCTGCACCCTGTTTTTGTGTGGGAGAACAGATTATCCTAGGTGCATTATTATTTTGGTTTTTTCCCCTTAACAAAGCTTTCCATCTTGAGGAGATCCCTGCTGTGGAAAGGCTGCCTGTGGAACAGGAGGTGTGTGGGACTTGTGGAACAATTCCAGCCTGTCCATCCCTTCCCTGGGTGTCCCACAAGGCAGCCCCAGCTTGCAGCTTTGTGTTTTCCCATAAAATCTGTGTTTTCTCCACACTGGGCATGTCCAAACTGATCCAGAGCTGCGTGATAAGGAGAGAGATGTAATCAAATTTTTATGCTAAAGCAGCAAATTAGCATTTGGTATCAAAGGAGCACAGACAGGAGTAAATGGGAGCTGCTGGAGCCAAACCCACTGATGCCTATCTGGGTGCAGAACAAAAACTGGTGAAGTGCAGCCAACTCTGCTGCTCTCCCTTTGCCACTCCGGGCATCTGAACCCATCCAGTGAAGATTTTTCAGGAGAAGGCTGTAACCCAAGTGAGAAATGCTCCATCAGCCTCAGAACCTGTGCCACCAACTCCTGAGCTTGGTTTCTGCAGGGGGTGGGGGCAGGATGAGGGGATGGCGACTCCCAAGACAGGACATCAAGGACAGGAGCGTGGTTTGCAGAAATACTTGAAGAGTTGATACAATTTGTTGTAGTTTGCTTTTGTCTTTCACTTTCTGGAACATCTTTTACAGATATACCAGTATACTGCTGGCAGCTATTGTTAAATAAAATTATATTTTCACTACCAAGCAGATCTTTCTCTTATTTCTGAAGATTTCATGTGCAATCCAGGTCTGCAGGGTGATGGGCTGAACTGAACAACACAACTTATTGGTAATTCTGTTCTCCATTTTTGGCCTTCAGGTTTAGGGTTTTTTCAGTGGTGATGTGCTTTAAGGCAGAATTTGTGTTATTTCTAACATTATAACCAGCTGTGGTGTCCCTGAAAATTTAGAACTTCCTTAAAATAAGAACAAGCTCAGAAATAATGACTTTCCACAATTTTGTTAGGAGAAGTGAGATCATTTTTTTTCCAGATTTTCAGTGGGAAGTTAAGAACAGATCTTGGTAGCTTGTTTTTCTGTGGAATGCAGGTTTTCAGAGATGGGTGAGATTTCATTCAAAAGACATTAAAAAAAAAAAATCTCAACTTTGGTTCAGCTTTATCCTCTGAGTGGCCGCGTCAGGAGTTGAGATTGAATTGATCTCATAACAGAATTCCTGGATTTCAGAGCTCTTGCTCTGAGTTTCAGATGGGTTTCTTTGCTGTTTTTTCCTTTCAGACAAGGTGCAGCAGCTCTGGCAGCCCCAGAGTGTTTTAATCTGGGTTAGTTTTGTTCCAGGACTGCCAAAAGCTGTGGCTGAGCACGCTGGGGTCGTGATGGCAACGCTTGAAAGCAATGCCAGCCGTGGAGGTGAGTTAGTCAGCAGGTAATTAATGAAAACCTTCATTTCAGGGGGATGCAGAGCCTGGCTGTGCCTGGTGAGCAGGGGGGGATGAGCTCTCCAGGCTGGTGCTGGATCCTCTCCAGAGCTGGGAAAAGGGAGCTTATGATTGTTTGAGTCAAGAGAAGAACTGCTGTGCTCTTACCACTGGACAGGGAGATGAAAACAGTTGCTAAACAAAGATCAAACATGTGAACTTTATAAATAAACAAACAAAATTGATGCTAAGGGACGTCTCAGCTCCTTTGCCTACGGCAAAGGGCTTGGCAGGACCTGGGGAATGACTTTGTCAGTTTGCACACAGAATTGTTATTTTAAAGAGGCTGATTAAAGTGATACTGCTGCTCTTAATGAGTCTGAAAACATCCCTGTCCACACAGGGGGAATGTGGGGGAGAGGAGAAATCATGTCTGGGGCTGAGCTCTGGGTGCAGAGCACAGCAATGTTCCAAATCTAAATGATCCTCATGATTAAAAATGCTGATTGGGGCAGGCAGACAGCGAGGGCAGCAGGGCTGGGAGGCTGCCAGGGAGGAGCTGGGGCTGCTTTGATGTGCTGAGCTCTGCCAGCCTGGCCAGGCTGCCCAGGGACAGGGGCTGCGCCAGGCAGGGGCACTGGGCACTGCTGAGGTCTTACAGAAAGCTGTGAGCAGACAGACAGATGTTATTTATGGTTTTCTTCCTTCTGTGCAGTGTGCAGAGGGCCATGAGCTGCTGTGGGTCAGTCTCCAGCATCAAGGCCCCTCCATCCTCTGCAGCTCCTCCTATTTTTCTCCCTGACTTTGCTGCTTGAGGTTGGAGCTGCATTAGAGGCTTTGCTGCCTTTGAACACAGAGCAGAAACCTGGGCCCTGTGAGCAGCCACGTGGAGCTCTTGCACAGCTCTTGGAGGTTGTTTTTGGGGTAAAGTTCTTGTTGGGAAGAGCCCAATGAGGAATGGGATGGATTGGATCCCTGGAGTTGACTTTAGAGGCCATGAGTTCATTTCTTGTCTGTGTCAGGCAGGCTGTTCCATTTGTTGTGAAAATGTAGGGTAATTAAAATGTAGGGTGAACTATTCCCTTTTTCTTGATTGGGTGTTTTTTTTCATTTCAGTTAATTTAATTTCAGAAATTCAAAGCAATCACTTCCTTTGGAAGGTTTTGGTGGTATTTACAATCATCTCCCTCTGGGAGCTGAGTGGGGACCCTGTGGAGGGCAGAGCTGGGTGCTGAGCCTGCCCTGGCCCAAACCCCACGTGTGGCTCCAGGTGAGTCCCAGCTCTGCTGCTCCTCCTGTCTGGAGGCTCCTGGGGTGGAAAGGGGACCTGAGGTCGCTGCCCTGGAGGCTGCTTGAGGACAGGGACACGTGCTCTGAGCAAAGTGGCTTTTCTTAGAGTGCTGCTCACAGTTTATCAGCTCCCCTGGCTGCAGGGAGTGAGGCTCCAGCTGCGTGAGCACCCAGCCCTGCTCTGTGCCTTGGAGCTGAGCTTTGCCATCCAGCCTGGTCTGGATCTGTGGATGAGTTTGGAGTGACAGAAAACAGCTCTTGTGCTGTTTTCTGTCACTCGGGGCACCTGGGCAAGCTCAGCTGCTGTTTGGCTGCCAGGTGGCATCAGCAGTGGCACAGGAGCCAGGATGCCCAGGCAAGAACAGAGGGCAGGAAAGGGCTGGGAGCTTTTGGGGTTTAAAGTGTGGGCAGGCATGTGCTGCTTCAGCTACTTCTGAGTTTTAATTTCCCCAGGCAATAGCTCTTACAGGCACTGGGAGTTCCTGCAGTCTGTGCTTGGGTGTTTTTAGGGCAGTGGTTGGCTCTTCATCTTGCTGCACCCACTCACTGAGGAATCAGATCCACAACAGCACAGGAGCATTTACTGCAGGCTCCATGCACGGGCTGGGTGGGTTTGAAGTGTTCAGGCTGAGATTTCTTCATGGGGCTTTAATTTCCCAGCTTTTTGTGGCCTTGGAGCTGGAGTCAGCACTCAGGGAGGAGTGTGAAATAATGCTGCTGTGACCTTTGGGTGAATTCTTGTCTGTGGGGTTCTTTGAGGAGAGATTGTGCACACTTGCAGGCAGGTCCCAGGATGGAGATTTTCCCTGCTCCCTGCAGAGTGTGGGTGAATTCCTGTCTGTGAGGTTCCTTGAGGAGATTGTGCACACTCGCAGGCAGCTCCCAGGATTCACAGGATGAGATTGGTGCCTGGAGGGAGCCAGGGACAGAGTGTGGCAGCCCAGCTCAGGCACTCTGAGACCCTTTAGTCAGCAGGCAGTGAAATGTGCACATGAGCAAAGCTGCTCACAGCATGACTTGCCCAGAGGCATCAGTGGCCAAAATCCCTTCTCAGGCTCCTCCTGGCCTTCCCCTCCAGCCCAGACTTCCTTTAGGAACAAAACCTGCTCATGTTTCCCATTGAACCCCTGGGTTTGCTGCTCTGCCTGAGCCAGCTGGAATTTCACAGTCTGGGGGTGCAGAGGAACCTTCTGGGGGCTCCTGAGGGCAGCTCCTGCTCCAGAGCTCAGCTGCAGGTGCCTGACTCTGGCTCCAGGTGGTTTTAGGGCTGTGCTGGAGGAGGGAGAGGCTGCTGGAGGTTCTGGAGGGCTGCAAGAGGAGGATCCCGAGTATCCCAACGCGACTCCGGAGCCTTTGAAGTGCTCTCTGCCATCCCTGCACCTTTCATCCCTCGCCAGCGCTTCCCCAGCTGGAGCCATGAAAGGGAAACTACAGAAGCCATAAATCCTGGCTGCCAGCATCTCCACTGGGGAGATTTCACAACGAGCCCGAGCTGCTGCAGAAGATAAGAGAGGGCCTTGAATCCCAGGCAAGTCAGGGCTGGTTCTGGGAAGAGCTGAGCTCCACGGCGTCGTTGGGGGTCCCTCTGGCTTCCCTGGGCTCAGGAGCTGCC